CACGCACCATACTATAAAATGGTGCTGGATGGTTTTCAAAGTGATAACAAGATGACAAATCATCTGTATTTTGAGTAATTGAGCAATTTACTTCTGTTTACATCATATTTACGATGCAGCATTGATGGAGCCACGAAATGAAATGAATATATCTTATGAAAGTTCAACTGGAAAAGTCAAAGATGCACATCAGTCTGATCGTAAAAACGTTTTCTTCTTCAATTCGAATGTTATATTGGAAGGATTTTACACAGACTTGATGAAAATTATGATTTAATGCTAATTTTCACGAATTTTATATGCAGTCTGTCAACATTATCATCATCATGCAGTGGCGACATCTGCGTTGAGCTTTTACGGCAATCTTCCAATAGCCTTTTAAAATGAAGGTCAAAGTTTTACCGAACATGGCGAACCAGCCAATGGCTGAAAGCCTTGTAAATAAAGGAAAAAAAAAAATTTACCGAACATTCCGCTGTTCTGATTTCGGTAAAATTTACCGAACACGGAACCAAAATCTTAGTGTGTATTTCAATTTACAAAACACACCGTTAACTTACATTTCACTCGAGTCATATGCATGCCGTAAAGCAACAGATAGAGTTTCCTTTTTCTAGCGTGGGTGCACCGCAGAGGTCTCGCACTAGCAGACCCAAGTAAGGAAAACAAAAAGTGTAAAATATCAGCACTTATATCGATGGATGCGTAAAGGCAAAACAGCCAAATTGTTCAATGTTTGTCAACACCTTCCCAGGCGTCTCGTTCTATATCTTTTTTACTCATTAGACCTAAGGCAAAGAAAATTGTAAGAACTTTGTAAAACTGAATCCGTTGTAACTTGAATGAAATAAAGTATTCGTTATTCAGACTTCAAACTGGATTTTCAATGTGCTCCTACGGGACACCACATACCGATTATCCATCCAAGCTTTAGTGCTCTGGTACAACTTTCTGGGTCCCAGATACTACTGTTGATAAAACTGGCTAAGTCGTTTAGCCACATGTTATTTTTTAATTATATGACATGTAATAGAAGTAAAGCCGCTGGTCCCAGGTTCATGAGTTGTATGTTGTTGATGGGTGGATAGGTAGGGTCCAGGTGGGGGAGCTGCCTCCCTGGCGTCGGTAACAATGGTGTTCAGCACGGAATACAAGATCGACGGAAAACAAATCAAGGATAAAAAGTAAACTTTCTTATGTGTTGGTTGAAACTTAATCATCATTATTGTTTAGGTTTAACCTGTCCTTTCACACTCTGCAGTTTTGATACATTCCCTGAAATTGTTTGCGACAATCAGTGGTACTTATCTCGTGACTTGTATACGCAGCTGAATCATGTGCTTTCATTTCTCGTTGACACGATTTTTCAAACTCCTTTGAGATTAAAACAAATTCACCTCGTACCTACGTGGTACGGACAATTGAAATTTGCCAAACAATAAGTGCTTATTTCGCTTGTATGCTGATAAGATTATATGAATGAAGGAGTAGAGTATGATACTGGGTGATACGTTCGAGCACGCGGTTCATTCATACGTAAAGCATGGGATTGAATGATTCTCGTTTATAGATAACAAACAGTCATTTGATTCAAGTGATTGGTGAGTAAATGAGTGAAAAAATAATCGTATTTATATTTAAAATGTTTTCCTATATGTCATCATCTTTTCAACTTGACTAGACAGGACGTTTATCTGTTATAAATTTGCAACAGCAAAATGTCTGGTACTGCCAGACAGTTCGAGAACTCTAATTATTTGACGGCTATATTTACAACAGCGTTTGGTTAGCCAATATAAAGACATGAAAATGGCCATGTCATATGTCACTTGTCACTTGTCACTGTCAGTGATAATCTAGGGGTCCCTTTAGCTCAGTAGATAAAGGCGCAGCTACAAAGCAAGACCATGCTGGAGGTGACTGGGTTCGGATGGAATTTTTGGGGTTAGAAAATTTCTCAACTTCCCAGGGTAGAGTATGAGTGTACTTGCCTTGCCACACAAATACTAATACTAATGCAAAAATAGTACAGGCATCGAAAGCTCTAAATTAATAACTGTGGAAGTCCATCTAGAACACTATGTTGAGAGCACACAATAAGCTAAAATGCGATAAGCAATAAACTTGAGATGCGAAGAAGTAGAAGAAGAATGCATTCAGTGACGTTCACGTTCATGTTTTATTTGTAACACAACTTGTAATGGATTGAAACAAATTAACCGAAATTAATCCATGGAACCTTCAAACTTTGTACAATTTAATAGATAATTTTCTGAAGAAAGATAATGATTTTATAGTTTAATTTGAAATCCATCTATGAAATCCATTGCCTTAATCAATTGAACAGCTCTTAGAATACACGAAACGCTAGCTAACTGGCAGGTTTTTAACTGAAAGTCCGAAACACGCAAGACTAAATAATGTACTGGTCGATATTATAAAAGACAGCAGCCACATATATTATGTCAACAATATGGTCCACCCTTCCGTTTTCTTGAGCGCACAATTAGGGGTACACAAAATTTTGTTTCCACGGGTATTCACATATTTGATCAACATGCTCAATTGTTTTCCCTGATCGTAAATAATAAATAAAAAAGTAAGAGGTTGCATCCATGACACGACGGTAGATTAGGTAAGATTACGAGCTCGGAATCAATAATCGACGACTGTATTAGAGAAACCACTTGATTTCTTATGACAAAATTACGCATTCAATTCCGTCCTAACGCATTGAAACGCCATTAGATTCATGTCCTTGGGTACGAAAGTTACCCCGTTGGCTTCGTACCACTCCAGGACAACATTTGAATAGTGGCACGAAGCTAGATCCGGCCAGAAGATCGTAGGGCCCTCGTGTTGCTTCAACAGAGGAAGCAGACGCTTCTGTAGACACTCCTTGAGGTAGATCTCCCCGTGTTCAGTCCAGGTAGTCACGAACGGCGCACTCCGTTTGCTACATGAGCAGATAGCATACCAAATCATGTATTTCTTGGCAAACTTTGAAAGTTTCTGCTTCCTTACTTCCTCCGGAACATCAAACTTGTGCTGGGCGGTAAAGAACATCATCCATGATGAGACAATGAGGCTTCGTCAGCATCTGGGTGTACACTTTCCGGGCCCGTGACTTTCCCACCGTATTTTGACGTGCGTCACGATTTAGAGCCTTCTGAACTTTATACGTATGCAGTCCCTCCCGGTCCTTGGCTCTCTGAACGAAAGATTTGGACAGATTCAACTTTTTGGCCACATCCCTGAGCGAAGCATTGGGATTCCGCTTAAATGCTTTCACGACACGCATGTGATCCTGATCACTAATAGAACATCCATTCTGACCGTATTTCTCCTTCCGTTCGATGCTCAGAGTTTTGTAGTAACGTTTAATCATACGACTCACCGTTGACTGCACGATTCCTAGTTGATTTTCGATGTGCCGATGAGAGAGTTGAGGATTTTCCAGGTGCTTGCGCAAAATCAATTCGCGACGATGCTTTTCAGTTGACGTCATTTTTTCCAACTTTCGAAAAACTGACAGAGGAAAAAATACAGTGTAAACAATGCACTCTAAACTACCTGTACCCTAATTTTCAAGAGAAAATACCCAATGGGTAATTTTCTACAGCATTTTTTCCGTGATGCAATTTGATGTGGGATACCCTTTACTTCCTCCAACGTCTTACTTGTCCCGGAACTGTCTGCCGACTTCCTCTGGTAATTTCTTCAAACTTTCTCTGAAAGTTTCTTTCGGCTTACCCCGGAAACTTCTTCCGACTTTTCCTGAATGTTCATCTCCCAACAGAGTTGGTCAGCTTCCTTTGGAAATTTCTTCCAAACTTTCGTTGGAAGTTTTTTTACGGTTTCTCTGGAAGTTCTTTCCAACCTCTCCAAAAAGTTTACATCAGCTTGATTTATTGATAGGTCTCCATTCTACACATAGTAAATTTCCCGGGAATGGTTTCCTGGCCGGTCCTGGATCGCCCTTTAGTGAAAATGTATACTTAGCATGCCTGCTGTTTCCCAAAAAACGAACTAGATTCCCTAAAATTGACAGCCAGGATGTTACTGATATTTCAATAAAAATAGATGTTTTAAATCACAAAACCCTTCTCCTGAGAGAAATCTTGCATGCCTTGTCTATAATTATTATAACATTTTATTTACAATACATAATTTACGGAACAGCGAAGAAAAGACCTTATTGGTAGTACAGTGTAGGCCGATTTTGGCAACACGATTCCAATACCTTTAATTTGCTAAAAGTCTGCCACACTCCGTTTCATATATTTTACATAGACTTTTCGGATAGTTAGGAATCTTTGGACGAGATCAGATAATCAGGTTTTTCCAGAGACATTTTTTTTTCTCACAAAACCGTCTCAAGGTGAGTTTCTGTGATCTAAGCATGACCATGACCATGAGGATGATTGACCGCTCGTGGTTGAACCTGTAACCTGTAACCTGACATTACACAGAGAACCTACAGATGATCATAAGGACTTGTATACATCCTTAATGTGTAAAATCTGGTGATCTCAAACATTATAATAGGTAATATTTGCATTTAGATAAAAATTATCAGTATGTCGCAGATGAATTGGCTTCCGATTAAACTGGTAGCATTGCAAGAGCTGTCGAAAGTACCAACAAGAACAACAACAACAATCTTAAAACCATAATTTCCGTAAAAGTCGGAAGTCTGACTTCCAAACTTTAATGTAGGTAGTGCTGGCTACACAATACCAGCACTGGCCGATTAGAATTGAAAAAGGAGTGATTAGTCTGCATTTTATCAAATTCTTACAACGGGTTAATTTTATCCTTAAAGCATATTTTCAATTGTAACACTTTATTCACAGACAAACAGACGTAGCTCTGGATCATCGTTCACGTAGAAAAAAGTTTTCAAGAAAAACTTATTCAAAGAGCTACGTCTGTTTGTCTGTGATTTACTGCTTGTCAAGCCTCATTTTAATTCAAATTTTGTTTTGTTTCTTTTTCAGCACCAAATCTAGTCCAGAATACGAGTGATCATGGGAAACATAGCGTCTTCAAGTTCAAAATTAGCGGAAAAATGTCCAATGCTAGAAAAGAGCGAACTGCCACTGATAGCCAGTTCGTTTAGAATAGTCAGTAAAAACTCAGACAAATGCAAGGAGGAGGAACTTATGGTATGTGTCAGCATATCGGTGATAATGTTTTCTATGAATGATACATTTTTTACATTTTAGAAATTTTGGGGTTCTCAAATGGACCCACGGTTGGCTCAGTACATTACCAATTTTCTATTTGGACCTCTTGGCCAACGAGCAGCATTTGTAGACCTTCCTCGATTTGCCGAATTGTATGTCTATACAGTACGAGGTACACTGGAGGAACGAATCAACGTGCTGCTCTGTAGTTTGGGACAATCACCCGATTCAGAATCCACCGAAATAGCTTACCCGTTAATTAAAGAGGTAACTAAACTGGGTTGTTGTAATATAGATAGCCGCAAGAAAACAGTTGGAACTTGATGACAAATTATTTGCAGTATGTCGAGGCAGTCGTTAGCAGCTACATGCGAGCGATAAGACTTGAAGGTGGACCGGAATTTAAATCATGGGAATCACGTGGATTTAGGATTGTGAAGGAGTGTATACAAAAGTTAGCCGAGAGCTTAGTGTACGATGTTGTTCAGCAAGGTACACAGAAGGTTACCCGAATAGACGCAGAACGCTGGTAAGTGTTTATTTGAATGGAATAGACCTGTGATAATTAAATGAAGCGATTTGAAAATGTGTTAATTCGATTTAGTTATTCCATACAAAAAAGCTATATCAAATAACGTTTCTGCAATGTATGTAGATCGTACCTAATTTAATACCCAACTTTGTCACTATCAGTAGATGGTGTGCAATCTGATACATATTTGATGATAGCAATCCCATAAAAACCGGACATGCCCGCCTTTCTTCAAATTAGAATCTAATTATACTTTTCATTTTCGCAGGCTCAGCAAAAATTCCATTTTCCTCAAAATGCTGGAGCATGTGTTTTCCCATTTGTACAACTATCGTAGCGTAAAAAACAGCTCTGAAGAGAGGAAAAAAGACGACACCGATGATAGCAAAAACAAGAGAAAGGAGAACCTTCCCCAACAAGAGGTCGTGCTGCACGCTATGCTTCCGCTTTGTGAGGGCCTGCAATACATGCCCGACTACCCGGCGTTCACCGATCTCTCACAAATGTTGTTCGTCAATGCGAATCTCCCAGCTGCACAGCAGAACAAGTGGCGGTTTTTGTTCTCCTCGCAGATTCATGGAGAAAGTTTTTCCACATTGTTGGGTAACATTTGCGTATGCTCGTTTGCTTGCGCTGATCTAATATTCCATTTGCATTTTTAGGTCGCATCATGGATCAGGGATCCACTGTGGTGATAGTTGAAGATGCAAACGGGTATATTTTTGGTGGATATGCCACCGAGTCCTGGGCACTGGGACCCAACTATTTGGGCAATGAAAATTCATTCCTATTTACGTTGCGACCGAAGATGCGATGCTTCCCGTCGACTCGCTATAATCCACATTATCAGTATTTAAACCTGCATCAACAGACGATGCCGAACGGAATGGTAAGCATGTACAGTACACTACCATAAAGCACCATAGTTCTGCGCAGCGCAAATTCCACGCTTTTTCTAGACATTTTGTAGTATATGTACATTGATTTTATCTAAATTAATAGTTATCAAATCAGTCCCATATGGATTTTCGTCAAGTTTAAGATAATAACGCTATCCACTATCAATTAGCATCTACTCTCATATTACGTGATAAAACTACGGACTTTAATCGTGAACAACATCAAGTCGTTTGTCCCATCAAGCAAAGTAATCGCATATCAGTCCAATCCTGGAATTAAATCGTCCAGAGGCTAAGTTACAGTTCTGCCTTTTGAATCGCCATATTTTTCGCTGATATAACAAATCATGCAAGCTCCATTGCTATTGTTCTATCCCGTAACACGTAGAAATGTCATTACTTTTCAGCTGCGTACCAGGCTTGACGAGTTAAATTTAACTCGTGGTTAAAAGTGACCGATGGAAAGTTATCGAATAATCCTGCTATGCGATCGTGGTTATTTCTGATAGACTAGAATTTAAATTTTGGAAACCGATCTATCGATAACACCGCTATTTTCGAACATCGAAAATTACTTTCGAATATAATTTTTAACCACGAGTTAAATTTAACTCGGCAATTGGGATACAGCCTAAGAATCCACAAAAGGCATTACTTCGATTGGATATAGATTCTGGTTAGGGATGACGGGTTACCATCTTAGCATTTTATCGTCATAAAATTGAAGAATCAAAGTGACGATTGACTCACAGATGGCGAGTGGGTGTAAATGGTAATGACGTTTTGATATCTGTCAAATTGCATGACATTTTTTTTAGTACATCATCATTTTTGTAATTGCGGATCTGAAAATTGGTTGCGCATGACCAGTTTAGGCTTTGCTTTGATTTGCCAATTGGGTTCTTTATTTTGAAAAATATATCGGTTTTTTATATATCATCAGAAAGAACTTCGTTTTCTGAGCAGAGCGATATTTTTTTCAAACCCACACACTATCATCTCGATTTTTAAATCAAGATCTAAAGCAAAATAATAACTTCACTGTTTGACACTAAACTGACAAACTGACATACAAAGTGACACCGAGGGGTGCTAATAAGGTGATTTTTTTTTTGCAAATGTAATCGTATTTATTTAAAATAGTTCCAGCACAGACAAACAGACATAACTCATTGCATATTTCTCACTGTAAAACATCGTCGCTAAAACATTACCGCCATCTGTTGAGTACACTGTGGTGGGCACTACACTGAACAGATGGCGGTAGTGTGTAAACGTTAAACGCAAGAGAATTGACTATGCGCGCCACAGGTGGCGGTACTACCAACTACGATACTTTTAAATTGTCCGTTAAATGCTTGTTCGATGAACAACCGACGAGTGTAATGTCTGTTTGTCTGTGGTTCCAGTGTATCAAAGTTGATGAAATTTTGGATTTGGGTTCCATTTTTAATGCAGATTACGAATATGCATTTACGTCAATACCTTTAAAGAATCCAATTGGAAATCACATTTTTGCATTAGTGGAATGGACAAATAATGCGACTAACAAGTTGTGGCAGAAACTTTTTTCTATAATTTAAATATTCTTGAACGAAATTAAGAGCTAGGTCTGGTGAAGACGTGATGATTTTCGAACCAATTTGAACTGTCAAAATTGAATCAGTTTTTACTGTTATTTTAAGAAGTTAACAGATAGGAGGTATTGAAACCTGAGTGAAAAGTCAACCGTTATTATTTTTCGGAAATAACTTCATAATTATGAGACAAATGTGTATTTTCTGTTTTTCTTTGTCATTTATTGATTGATTTCTTTATTATAGACTTTCAGCCGTTGGTTGGTTGGTTGTCTAATCAAAGCATACAAAATTATTAACTTGAAAAATATTACATTATCATAGATTTGCTATTAAATCGTCTTTTCTTAATTTTCAACTTCGGTATGTTTTTCAAACGATATGAAATTAATGAATTAATCAACTTAGATTGAACATCATTGTATTTAGGCACATCGATTGGAACATTGAAAAGTAACGAGAACATAGTATCCTGAACATTAACTTTTTCATCTTTTACAGGTTGGATATAGCTTGATAAAATTTTTGTTCAGCGTATGGAAATATTGAATTGGTATTGTGAACACTGATTGACAAATACACTGATAACAGTTAAGACATTGATCACGACAATGACAGAGAAGTTGATACTGACTGACACTGATTCGCAACATTTTTCAAGAAGATCAGTCACTTGAAAATTTCAAAAAGAAACAATCATTTCAATCCTAGTTGCAAAATAGTAAAGCTTGCAATTACTAAAACAAAATGTAAAAACTTCATAAAAACCAAATGATTAAATTAAATGGGGCAAGTATATGTTTATGTACCTACATAGGGCCCTATTATGTAAGTCGAGTCGAGCGTCACTTCTATTCATTAAATTAGACCTCAGTAATATCAAAAAAGAGCAGTGACCAGAAGTGAGGCGCGACTCGATTTACACAGTAGGACCCATAGCTGTTAATATTTCACCTAAAGTTAAATTATCGGTTTAGTTGCAGTACTCAAGTAACCAGAAGTTCTGATAAAAGGCTTTTTGTGGCCTAAACAGCAGAACTTGAAAGTTCCGGTACCATAATTGAAGAGCATTCTAAGCAGCTTCTGGCGGAAATTCAACGGAACTTTTAGAAAAAAAGTTAGAAAAAGGTTTTTGTCCTCTACACCAATTCTATATTTAGTTCGCACGTTTATGAAAGTTAATTCTTAAGTCAGGTCTTCATGAAAGTTATTTCTAAAGGCAGGTACGAACGTGTATTGATTTATCAGCATTAGTACACTAATAGAATTCCACACATTTTTATTGGTGAATTTCCATGTAAAATTCTACTTGATTTTTATGTGACCACACATAAGCAGAATCCACCCAGAAGCACACATGAAATTTATGAGTCAAATGAATAGTATGCATAGTATTGATTGAGATGGTGTCTTGGAAGAAGTTGCGGACAAGTATTGTGCCTTTCAAGAAAAAATATGCGCCGTAAAAAATTATAATTTTTTTATTAAAAAAAATCAAAATCATCAAAAAAAAAATTAAAATTACTCAAATTGCATATTTTTTATATTATTTTTTTGTAGTTTAGATAAAGTAATACCTACTGACACTGTGCATTTGCTGGGCAAATCATAAACAAAACAGTTATAAATTATTGAAAAAATAAGTATTTTCCAAAATACCACCTACAGGCAAAAGACTGCCAGCTGAAACATGGACACAGCTGGTTGGCGTAGCCTGGGCAATGTTGTCAATCCGACAATAGCAGAGTGAGGAGGTGCGACTCGAACACTGGTGCGGTAACCATAGCACGGTGATAGAGGAAATGCTTCGCCAACCCGAGCGTCTGTTCACCATGGAGGTGCTGCTCAAACAGCGTCTGACTGGCATCCAGCGGCTGAATAAGAAATGCTCTTCCCCGGAAGCTACACCTAAGATGGTAGCTCCATCACGGCGGATAGGAGACCTTAGGCCAACCACCTACTGTCTCTGAAACCTTAACAATTGTTGCAGAAACCAACAGAGAAAGACATCGAACTGATTTAACGGCAACAACTTTTAGCGCAAAACAACGGACACGAATTGGATCATGGAATGTATTGACTGACTGACACAACTCGCCAACGAGGCGCGACGCATGAAGCTAGAAATCCTGGGACTAAATGAAGTTCGTTGGCCAAACTGCCGTCGGGACAGGTACTACTATACTCTGGTATTCGAGGTGAAAACGCTCCCCGCCATCGTGGAGTTGGTCTCCTACTTAGCCTGTTAATGAGAGGATAATCGTTGCCAGATTTAGAACACGGGTTCGTAACCTTACCATAATCCAATGTTATGCTCCAACCGATGCTGCCGACCTACAGGACAAGGAGAATTTTTACAGTCAACTGAATGCCGTCGTGGATAAGTTTCCAAAGGGTGACATCAAGATCTACACTGGCGACTTCAATGCGAAGATCGGTTCCGACAACACGGACTATGAGCGTGTCATGGGACGCCATGGTCTCGGCGAAATGAGCGAGACGGTGAGCTGTTTTCAGAATTTTGTGGCAATAACGACATGGTGATCGGGGGCTCGCTCTTCCCCCATCGGCCAGTTCACAAAGTCACGTGGGTTTCCCGTGATGGACATACCGAAAATCAGATCGACCACATCTGCATCAGCCGAAAATGGAGACGGAGCCTTCTTGATGTCCGGAATAAACGCAGCGCCGACATCGCGTCTGACCATCACCTTCTAATCGGCGAAATCCGCCTACGCATGGCGCGGATCCAGCGACGGGAGGAGAGACACGGGCGGCGGTTCAACACATGCCGACTTGAAGATCCAGCGGTTAAAAGACGAAGAACTTGAGACTCGAGCTGCGGACGTTCCAGAAGGTGGCAGCGTAGAAGAACAATGGACGGCCATCAAGAATGCCTTTATAGAAACAAGCGAGAACAACTTGGGTGAGCTGCGCACCCAGAGGAAAGAGTGGATCACAGATGAAACCTGGCGGAAGATTGAGGAGCGTAGAGAAGCAAAAGCCGCGATAGAGCGGGCGAGAACCAGAGGAGCCAAGAACGAAGCCCGTCAACGGTACTCGGCTCTAGAGAAGGAAGTCAAGCGCTCTTGCAGACGGGACAAGCGAGCGTGGGTGAACTCCCTGGCCGACGAAGGAGAGAAAGCCGCGAACAATGGAGATATACGCCTCCTCTACGATATCTCACGACGCCTGAGTGGAGCAAGGATGAACCCGAGGATGCCAGTGAAGGACACGACTGGATAATTGCTTACCAACCCCACTGACCAGCTGAAACGCTGGTTTGAGCACTTCGAACAACTTCTTTAAGTTTCGACGGCCAACCAGCCATCAACATCTCGGCATGATCCGCCTAGGGTGCGGCGCATCACTCGCGTCAATTCCGAGGCCCCATCACTGCAGGAGATTGAAGCAGCTATCCGAAGCATGAAATCCAACAAGGCTAAAGGGGTCGATCGCATATCAGCGGAGATGCTCAAAGCTGACCCCATGCTATCCGCACAAATGTTGCATCAACTATTCTGTAATATCTGGGACACCGCGACTTTTCCGGCCGACTGGATGCAGGGCATCTTAGTGAAGGTCGGTAGCGGGGCAAGCAGTGGAGAAGGTCGATTCCAATATCTTGGCAGCCAAATAGCGTCAGACGGCGGGACCAAGAGCGACATAGGTGCATGAATCAAGAAGGCTAGGGCTGCCTTCGCTGGAAGCGAGTTTACGAAACGTATGGAGATCCAACCAGATAATCCGAATTTTCAACTCGAACGTGAAATCTGTGTTGTTATACGCCAGCGAGACGTGGTGTGTATCAGCGGAGAACACTCAAAAGCTGCAGGTCTTCATTAACCGATGCCTGCGGTATATAATTCGTGCCTGGTGACCTCACAACTGGATCTCGAATGCCGAGCTCCATCGTCGATGTCATCAGAAGCCGATAGCAACAGAAATTCGAGAGCGAAAGTGGAGGTGGGTCGGCCACACACTTCGACGGGGCGGAAACGAAATCTGCAAGCAAGCGCTGGATTGGAATCCGGCAAGACATCGCAGCAGAGGCAGACCCAGGGGCTCATGGCGGCGGAGCCTCAATAAGGAAATTAAGCAAGTCGATAGGAATCTGACCTGGGCCCAGGTCAAGGCAAAAGCGAGCAGCCGCCCAGGATGGAAGTCTTTCACGTTGGCCCTTTGCACCGCTGGTGGTGCACAGGACCCTTAACTAACTAACCTACAGTTATCGAATATCTTTAAAATAGTGTTAATATTAAAACACATTAAATTTACAACAAAAAAGCTCATAATGCTTAAATTGCCCAAAGTTGTTATTTTCGAGATACTCGTAGGTTAAAATTCACTTATCGCATAATTTGAGCAATTTTCGCTCTTTTGAGATGAAATTTCACTATTTCTAAAACATGTACTTAATCCTATTCATCGTTATATCAGCTCTGCAATTATGCCATTATTACAGAAACAAAAAAAAAACACACGCACAAAATACAAACTTAACACAAGGTTAATCGAACTTACAATCATGCTTGCCATACACAAATTTGCATACATTTGACGAAACATAGTTTTTTTGAAGCAGTAGATATAATAGAGTTTAAGATAAACATTCTTTGCTTTGATTCAAATATTAAGATTTACCTACTATTTGCATGTCTATAGTAAACTATGATCCTAATCTATCAATTACTTTAAAGAAAAACAAATTTCAACAACTGAGTGAAAAGTTATTAACAAATGAGCAGTTGGCTCGGCAGTTGGTGTGTACAACTGTGCATGTCAAGTATGCTTACAATCGAAGGTTAATATTCTTAAAGAATAGGGGAAATGGATGTAATGTCGGCCTAAATGTCCCTAATTTGGGCCCATACATAAATTCAGCAATCGACTAAATTTTCAATAGCGCCCAAAAATATTCATTAGTACCGTCCCAATGGCGCGTTCATCTAGATAAAATTGATAAATAGCAGACTTTTAGCGATGGGCCCAATCTTAGATCCATAGGCCAACATTACAGCCATTTCCCCTATTAGTTTCATAAACTCCAGATCGCGTCTAGTCAGAACATCCCGAACTGGAACATTAGATTGTCTACCTCGAGCCCGAAGGGAATAGTATAGTTGAAATCTGACTCCACGATGCTCAGCACAAGACCAAATAATGTGATCTGCGTCCTGGTTACCTTGTCCACATTCACAGAGATTGCGGAACAAGTGAATAACTTTACTTAGGGGAAATGGCTTCAATGTTGGCCTATGGATTTAAGATTGGGCCCATCGCTAAAAATCTGCTATTTATCAATTTTATCTAGATGAACACGTCATTGGGACGGTACTAATGGATATTTTTGGTCGCTATTGAAAATTTAGACGATTGCTGAATTTATGTATGGGTCCATATTAGGAGCATTTAGGCCGACATTACATCCATTTCCCCTATTATCCGGCATTTTTAAGCAGGTTATTATTCTGTGATGCCAAATCTATGGCTCTACCCTGGTGCGGTATGGACAGTGATTTTTCACTGGAGATCTGGACCTATGTCCCACTTCTGTACTTGAAAACGAAATCGAAAACGAATTTGTCGACGATAATCATGTCAAGATATCTATGTTGCGTTATTATTATATTATCGCAAATTTTCTTCTAAAATGTTCTTCATACTTCCCGAGAAAATATTGCATTGTGTACAACAATTTTTCTAACAACACTTTTCTTTGCTTATATTGCAGGGTATGGGTGGCCAGCACAACTACTGGGGCCTCTGGTTGGACAGTGAATACGGAATCGGAGAATGTTCGGAAACGTGTACCACCTACCAGGGATACTTCCAGATGAGTGCCACCAAAAATTTCACCGTTCGAAATGTGGAGGTCTGGGGCGTTGGCGATAAGCCGGTTAAGGAAGATGATTCGGTGGGTTTCAGTTTAAATACCTATCACGCCATACACAGGTCACATTTATTGAACTTTCTTATGATTTGCAGGAGGAGAACACAGCTCGATCCATTCTGGATGGAAATGCCGACAGCAAAGCCATGCTGAAGTTGAGCGGACGCGAACAGTATTCCGATGGATATCGGGAGGAACCAAAAGATTAAAAAATGAAATCGAACGCCAGAAACAAGTTTGAGAACAAGTTATGTTCGCCGGAGATTAATCTGGTCGATGTATTGGATACGTTTAATTTTAATTTTCTGTAGATTTTTACAATGGTAGGTTTATGAAACGTTAGTTATTTATTAGATGAGCACGTGTCGTTCTGAGAGTGCTGAAGGTGAAGAGCATGATGAAACATGAATGATATAATCGTTTTGCTTTAGAATATTTTTTTTTCTTTACTTTATCTGGCGTTTGCTATGCACTTTGTACCTAGTATGATCTTTCCGTTAATTACTTTTCAGAGAGAGCGTGCAACCTTACAGCAAGAGGAGGCCCGAAATATGTTTCATGAGAACTTATACGGTGTGCGTTAATGCGATTATAATTGTATCGAGACTGTAGAAAGAAGCAACACAAAAGTAGCTTGAGCAATCAAACTATTAAAAAGTAATAATTTATTCTGAAAACGGCTGTAGGTATCTAGTTGCATGAGAAATTGTAAATAAAGAGCCCTATGTTAAAGTTGTAGTTCATCTTATGTTAAATTTATTTATTGTGTGTTCAGCCTTTTATTATTTTGCTTTCACTTGAGCGCACAGATCTAAATAGCAGACAGGAATGAATTTCTTTAATTGTGCCATATGAATTGTAAAACGATAAAGCAAGATAACAGTAATGAGGAAATTTAGATTTTTAAATTGTTGCGCAAGGTACATTACTGGTTATTTATAGGTCAGTTGAAAACGAGAGCAATCAGTGTTATTTAATGTAAATGTGCTACGGATACGTTGCCGAAAATCCGAAATGAAGACAAATATATAGTAATGGTTAAATTGGCAAAACACGGATTGTTTTTACTTTTACGTTTTTAATATTCGGACACATGCAAAAAATATCACAATTCTCCCTACACAAATTTAAAATGTCAGATGAACATATTTTTAAGCATGCCGAAAATCTGCATATAACCGAAGACTTCAAATCATGAAGACTGGCAACTCTGCCGGAATCCAAGAGACAGATACAGTAGCGCTGCGCTCGAGCGAAGGTGGAAGTACTGCATAGAAAAATGAGGGTGTAATTTTTGCAATCAAATCGTTCGAAGCATTTACCTTTGAGCGGCAGATGACACGATTGTGTCGGTCTCATAGAGATTTTCACGTCCGGTTGTATTAGCGGCAGATGTCAGTTTTGCGCTTTGATCAGAAATTTCTTTGTAATTTGTATGATCATTCATGTCGGTTAGTTGGTGGTATTAGTGCGATATATGAGAGTGTTAGTGAAAATCCGATGAAAATTCATAATTAGCCACAGGAAAATAATAAACAATTTTACACAGCGATGCACCCGCTTGTATGCGTGCGTTAAACGTCACTAATCTCTATGGCGGTCGTATGAGAAAATGGAAGAGTTGCCGGTCTTCTTGATATGTTTCTTCGATATAACACTCGACAGAGAATGACATAGACGACCATAGAAATGCATTAGTCACTCGATTCGATTATGGCAAAATAAAGAAGATTTTGGTTAAGTTAGTTAGGACTTTACCAATGTTAGAATCTATTACCCCTTGGCTTTTTGCAAACTACCCTCTGGGCCTAATGCAAAATGGCCCATCTTTCGTGAACCCAACTCTTGCTACTTTGAGTAAAAGTAGAATGACAAACTCACGTGCAATGCCTCTTGCAGGTGTGCTTGTCAATAACACAATCATCGCTACTCTAATATCTGAACTAACAACCAGAGATGTTTGAACTGGTGCAATATATGTTACTGTTGTCAAAACCTTAACAGGTACCTAGGGTCTGGTGGGGCAAGAGTGCCACTTTAACAAATGTACGTTCTCTATGTATATGCCAAATAGTGGATATTTATAGGAGTTTGTACACCGTACTGCAAGTTAATAACATCCCCTTCATAAATCGGCAATGTAATGCAAATCTCGTCAAAAATTGTTTACGATTTTTTCAAAATATCATCTCGAATCTTTTTTTTGGTACCGCAAAAGTGCAAACCCCTATGGGGCAAAATGGTTATGCGTCTTAAATGCAATGAAATCGATTAATGCTTGTGTATAAACATAGCCTTTTGATTGTTAATCGTGGTAGCAACAGCTGTCATTGTCTACTTAATTGACCTATTAAATTTTACAATCATTATTAAATACATAACAAATAGACCATTTTATACAAATGAAATCAAATGAAAACAATTTTCGATGAAATTTTATGTAGCTGGTTTTGCTAAATTTGGTGTTGAAAATATGACCAGGCTGACTGGTCCCTCTTTCCGTCAACGCCGCATGGTCCAATTCAACACCGGACAGTATCCAAGACTTCATTAGCTCCATCCATCAAGCGGCACTTCCATCAATTCCACGAACTAGTCCCAACCCGGGATCTAATTCTCTACCATGATGGTTCCCAGAGACCAAAGCAGCAGTTAAAGCCAGAAGGAAGGCTCTTAGGGCTGCCTACGGACCATTCGTCGAAAGAAGCGGCCATGGCCACCTACAGAGCAAAACGCAACGAGTGCCGACAACCTCTCCGGTCTGCCAAGAGTTCAAGCTGGGAGCAATTTCTGGACAGCATTAATGCTGGCCAGACGGCCACTGACCTGTGGGGTAAGGTCAACGCATTAAGTGGCAAACGGAAATCCCGCGGAATGGCCATCCGGGTAGATGGTACCTGCACTAGATACCCTGATAAGATCGCCCATGCTTTGCCTGAACTTTGTACCCCTCTCTCGGCCATTGACGGGTACGCTGACCGCTTTCGTCGTACAAAAAACGCACTCTTTGGACAGTATCTACACCCCAGAGGATGAACTGCCGTTTGAGTTTAATCGGCCTATCATGCCACAGGAACTCGACCTAGCTCTATCCAAGGCTACCGGGAAATCGGCTGGCCCAGATGATGTCGGGTACCCCATGCTAAAAAAAAAACCCATCACCGGAATGCAAGACCACACTCCTCAGACTTCTCAATAGAGAATGGCTGGAAAATTCCATTCCAGAGGACTGGAGACACAGCCTACCCAGACAACCAGAAGTCGTATAATAATGTACAGACAGTATCGTAAATTGCTACAGTTTTAGTCAAAATCGCATATAAGAATGGCATACCTCGCATTATGTTTAAGTTAAATCGTATAGAATGCAAATTTCCGACCAATATGCGATGACTCATTTTTCCATCGTACTGTATCACAAATTAAATCGGATTACATCGTAAGACTTTTCAAAATGAATTTGTTATTACAGATTAAATCGTATATGATGTTAAATCAACTCGTTTAAAATTAAATTAAAATATGCACGTATATGGCCTCCACTTTTGTACGTATAAGCCATTTCTTTGCATTATATACGAATTGTTTGTTTGTATATATGTTTGTATATCACGAAAACAACTTTGAATATACGTGCATTCTGGTTGTCTGGGTAGTCGTCTCGATCCCGAAGCAGTGCACCTCAGCGAGCCGAAGGACTTCCGACCGATATCTTTGACAAGCTGCATCATTAAGGTGCTGTAGAGAATGGTCAACCGTAGGCTCGTGCTCTACTTGAAGAGTAACGGCTACATTGACCACCGCTTTCCGTCCTGGACTCGGCACTGGGACCAACTTCGCCACTCTGAAGCAGGTACTTCGAGACGCGAGGGATTCTGACTAGCATGGTGAACTCGTTACGCTAGACATCTCTAAGGCTTATAGGTCATGGACACCCGACATTCTTGTTCAACTCACGGACTGGGGTCTGTCGGGCCACGTTCTTCACTTTTAGAAGAATTTCCTCCGACATCGTACTTTCCAGGCATGCATCGGAAACCATAGATCAAGAGGATTCGCAGACTGACGTTCCGCAAGGTCCTGTGATCGCAGTCACGCTGTTTCTAATACGAATGACCGGAGTGTTCCACTGCTTACCCAAAGAAATATACATCTTCGTCTTGGTGGCGGTCGGATCCACAGTGAAGGCCCTTCTCAGAAAACTAAACGCGGCCAGAAACGCAGTTCTACGCAGGACCAAATCCGTCGGATTCCAAGAGAAATTCGCGTACACCCACATTTGCCCGATCAATCACCAGGTGCTCCGCTCTCCTATAAGCGTCGACGGAAGGATCATGCCATATAAGAAGTCCATCCGCGTCCTCGGTATACGCCTGGATCTGCATTTAAACTTTGGAGACCATTTCAACGAAGTGAAAGGTAATTGCCAAACGAGAATCGACCTGCTGCGAACATTAGCCAGAAGGCATCTAGCGAACAACCATGCTGTCCGGATGCGCGTGGCTGAATTGGTAGTCGATTCAAGATTAACATACGGTATGGAACTGACTGGCCTAGCTGCATACAGGATGATGTATGTACTATAATAGTATCAGACCATTAGAATCACATCAGGTCTCCTTCCCTCCACCCCCAGGCTGGCAGCGTGTGGACAAATTCATCGTTGGTACCGTTTGCAAGAGGGCAGTTGGCTTAGCAGAGAAGACAACTGGAACAAGTGATGAAGTGTCCCTCTTTATAGAGGTGAACAAACCCGGACTTTCTATAGACATAGCGATAAAGAATAGATTCCGGGCGGGAACCAACTCCCCCGCACTAGTGAGATCGATGGCCAAACTACAACGAATCAAGTACCCAAATCACCAAGCACAATACACTGACGGATCCCGAATTGGCGGAAGGGTAGGTATTGGGATATCCGATCCGAAGTTACGCACCTTCTACCGACTTCCGGACCCTTGCAGCGTTTTCTCTGCTGAAGCTGCCGCCATATTAGTAGCCGCCACGTCGCCCACCAACAAACCTGTCGCCATATTTTCTGCTTCGGCCATTGATAGCTCTTCAGTCCGATACAGCCAAGCACCCTTGGATCCAGGCTATCCAGAAGCTCGCTCATAAAGGAACAACTTTCATCAGGATCCCTGGACACTGCGGGATCAGAGGAAACGAGGAAGCCGACTATCTGGCGGCATCCCGAAGACAGGCAAACCTCTATACCCAAAAGGTCCCGGCTCAAGACATCAAGCGGTGGATCGTGAGTACAGTATGAAATTGCTGGACAAATGAATGGCTCCGATCTCAAGATCTTTTTATCCGGAAGATTAAAGGGGACACCAGAAGATGGGATGATCCGCTTGAACACAGTAATTCTATCCCGGCTGAGAACCGGTCACACCAAAGCCTATCACAACAGTGGAGCATTTCCTATGCAAATGCCCTCAGTACTACGGACCACGCATACAATACGGGATCGCAGGAAGCGTCAGGGACCCCTCTAGCACTTCAGCGCTCTTCTCCTTTTTGCGGGAGACAGGATTGATCAACCAAATTTTATTTATGAATAATGACCCAAGCAACGAAAACGGACAACGACGATATTAAGATGACGCACGAATAAGGACACAAAAATGGACGGATGATGGCACGAAAATCACGCAGAGCGAAACAATGGAACTGAACACGGAAATTACTACACATAAAAATAGAATGACCACAATAATCGGACACAAGACCAAGCGACGACAATGGATTATGACAAAGGACACACCGCAAGCTATCTGACTATCTGCCAACTGAACCAACTCAGTTTAATACAATTGTACCCTTTACACATTATGAAGGCCGCTCTCTGAAGCCCTCTTTTCCTTTTTTAAGTGGTTTGTACCAGCCACTGGCTATAAGTCACTCTAATAAAAAAACAAAGATTTTTCATATAAATTCCATTGGCCTCATAATTTTCGTGAGCATTTGTGGTGAAATTTGCAGTTATGTGGTCACAGAAAAGCTATGGTGAAATACACATTGATTTTTTCCTTTAGATGTGATAAGTTATTTGAGTGCATACTATCCTGAATATTGCGGATTAATGTGTATTTACAGATGCTAGTAACATGTTAAAAGTGTAACACAAATGACACGGATCGTACTCACCAATAATCAAAGTAAACATGGAACGGGATCTACGATTGCAAAGTCTTGCTCCGTTTCGCCAAAAACTTCTCGCAAGCCACCGCACCATGTCGAGCCATGTGACTGGACCTGGCAAACGGTTTACCACACTTGAGGCATTTTATGGTCCAATTGTGATGGCCGGCCTTGCGGCGATGAATTCCCAAATATACACGCGTTTTGAAACTCTTACCGCAATCACAGGTGTGCAATCGTTCCTCGGAATGTGTGATCCAGTGACTGCGTAGCTGGCGAGGATTTCGGAAGCGTTTGGAACATTTTTCGCACTTGTACAGGGCTTGTGGACTGTCAGGTTCCGGATTTGATGAATAAGCCGTTTCTGTGCGGCTGGTATTCGGAGTGCTCGAACGTGCGGAACTGTCTTGATCAATCACTGTAGTAGGATACTCCGAAATTATCCAATCGTTGTGACTGAAATGGGTTCTTTCAAATATATTTCTAAATTTGCCATGAAGCACAATAAACTTACAATGTTATTTGCACTGGATCAAGCCCATCGTCCTCTTCGGGTGCATTGCTATCAGCGGAGACTAGACCGTGTCCGCTTTTTTTTGGGCGTGTTTCTGGGATGTCTCTTTCGAACGGAGACCAGAACAAAGTGCAAAACATTCCTGGAAGGAATGAAACCTTTAGGAACGAATTATGTTCATCGAGATTATTTATCAAGCTACACTTACCATCCCAGTAATTATTGCGCAGGTGAATTGCTTGGTTGTATCGTGACGAGAGGTAATTCTTCGGCATTTTGAAAATGCAACAAATGACGAAATGATTATCATTCAGTGTTCAATTTGAATTTTGAACATGGGCAACTAATATTCTACGTTATACCCTCCTACTTCCGACCGAGTTTTTCTTTTTAGTCATGAGCTAGTATTGGGCGATCTCAATCCGAGCGATAAGCGAAAAATGAAGAAAATCGAATCAGCGTAAAATCGATTTTCTTCTTTCGCACGGCCAATGAAAATACTTCAAAGAGATACACAGCAAAAAAAAAAATGTAATATCGATCAACGTAATTCAAGCTGATGTATGAAATAATGATGTAATAGCAAAAAGTAGATACAATATTACATCAATGGATGTAATTTTGTTCGCAAAATCGATATACATCGTACAATGTGATATAACACAACCGATGGATTGACCTGGTTGCAGCAGTTTCGATGTAATATTCAACAACTTTTTTTGCTGTGTAGATAGAGAGAGAGAGAGAGAGAGAGAGTAAATTGAATTTTGATTGGATTTTTTTAAGGGGAATCATGAGCCTTATTTGTATAATAAAACTCATATTTTTGCTCCACAATGCTCAAGCGGTTCCAAATCGGGTCCTGATTACTCAACAAACCATTTGAGCTGATAAAAGCTGCATAAGCTATTTTTAAGCTGAAGAAGCTTATTTTTGCCTGAATAAGCTCTTATTCAACTGTCAATTCTTGTTGGGTAGCCTCCCAAAATTTAAATTAATTTGGTAATAAGGGGTCGTCTACTGATTATGTCACACATTTAGTGGGGAGGGGGGGTTTTGAAAACTGTGACGAGCCATACAAAAAAAAAAAAATTAAGTTCCATACAAAAAAAAATGTGACAAAGGGTGGATACAAAAAAAATGTGACAAAGGGGGTGCAAATTGAAAATGGGCCAAATTTGCGTGACATAATTAATGGACCATCCCTAAACTGACTTGGCACAAACCATTTGAAGTTTATATGGCAATTACTATGGTAAAACCAAATATTTTGTTCATTAACTTCATCATTTCTTCTAAGAGT